TCTCTCATCTAGCGTGAGAGTAACCTATCCAAGTAACGTTCCGGATTGTTATTATTTATACTCCTTCAGTTCTCTCATCTAGCGTGAGAGTAACCTATCCAAGTAACGTTCCGGATTGTTATTATTTATACTCCTTCAGTTCTCTCATCTAGCGTGAGAGTAACGTATCCAAGTAACGTTCCGGATTGTTATTATTTATACTCCTTCAGTTCTCTCATCTAGCGTGAGAGTAACTTATCCGAGCAACAGTCCTAGTTATTCTCATTTGTACTCGTTTAGAGCAGTTTATCCATCGGGAGTAATTTACCACAGTAACGTTCCGGATTGTTGTTATTTGTACCCGTTTATGGCAGCTTATCTAGCGTGAAAGAAACTTACCCGAGTGACGTTCCTTGGGTCCTTGAAATTTGGTGGATGTTGCTGGACACACGTCTGAATAACTTGTTGTTTAGCGGCCTGCAGGGAAGAGAACGGTATTAAAGGTGAAATGATAAATATGAATAAATAAACTTCAGAGACGAGATGTACTAACATATGAAACTGGTACTGTGACATTAGATATTGTTCTTGGCTAACTGTTAACTTCCATATGTTGAGTATCACTAAAAAGCCGATTAAGTAATGTTCAGCTATCCGAACACTTAAGTATGTTTAAGTTTTTGAAGAGTATGCATGAAAAATTGCTAATTTTTAGGATGCGCTCTTTATATCATTACAACATAAGGTGTCGCACGTGTATCTAAAGATATAAGAATTTACACAACATGTTTTTATTTTAGATAAAAGCCAGTCTTTAACCTATGATGCAGTCCTGAAATACTTTACGCTGTTACAGTGGTCGGGTCTGGAAGACCCGTACAAGCAATATTGTATATTTGCTCTAACAAAGACCCGTACAAGCAATATTGTATATTTGCTCTAACAAAGACCCGTACAAGCAATATTGTATATTTGCTCTAACAAAGACCCGTACAAGCAGTATTGTATATTTGCTCTAACAAAGACCCGTACAAGCAATATTGTATATTTGCTCTAACAAAGATGACTACTACAAAAATATTTGTCCCCAAATTGTAGAGGAATAGAAGGAGAGTCATGGCAACATATGCATCTATAATGAAATTATTGTACAACAAAAATAGTGGTGGGTCTCTTGGACCCGGGACTGCATTCTAGGGTTAAGTGGCAGTAGCTTTACCAATTTCCAGAAAACTAAGGTGTCTTTTACCGAACGTAGGTTTCTAGATAGCTTAGAAACAAATGATAACCCTTACCTTCTCTTGTTGGCTTGGTTCTAGTTGTGGACACTGACCCCAGTCAACTTGCTAGAGAAAACAAGAGTCCGGAACGTTAGTTTAGGGTTATGCACAAATAGTAACAACTTAGAATATAGTAGAACACTTCATCTCATCAAGTTCTTAAGAGAAAATACTTTACTTTTCTGAAAAACACCCAGTACTTGTCACTGATTCTAGGCTAATATATTTACATCTCACATAGAAAAATGTTTATTTTTGGTCTAGTATTTTAGTTTCGGATCGAGTTTCTATTGTTTGACTAAATTACCCACATTTTTTTTTCTATTTCAGTCCTTGCGTAAGAGCATCGTTTTTAAAGGTATAGCGATACGAGTATCGTATCATGAAGCCGTGATACGATTGTATCAATACATCCGTCCGATACGATATGATTTATGTATCTTCACGAAATTTGTCAAGCTTTCAATAAACGTTATAAGTGTTTTGTACAGAAAAATCAGAATTTCTAATAAAGTATTTATGCTGAAAATTAATGATTCGATAAAGGAAGATGAGTATTGAGTACTACATGTTGTCTTCATTTCTTTTATCAAACACATTACATGCAAAGTAACGTAACAAATGAACAATAACAAAATAGATAGACAGAAATGAATAAAAACCCTATAACCCGAGCGCTTTCGAAAGGTCATTTATATCAAGACTTCTTGAACCTACGTGTTTTTCTAACACCATGTAAACAGATAGACAGATATTAACTTATTTATATGTTACTTCTCTTGTCAGCTGCCATTTAGTTGATCAAACCTGAGAATTTTAAAAAGCACTATAAAGTGTGAATTATTTAAATAAGACAATGTTGGTGATATAGATAATAAATTATAGACAAGACTGTCAAACTTTTTAACAAACCGTCGGTAAAACTTCTGTATCTAGATACGTATCGTATTGACCACTATGAACAGATACGCACCCCTAATTATTTTATGTAAAACAGTGCACTTCAATCATTGTTTAGAAGTAAATATGTTGTTACTATAATTAGGAAATCAATGTTGGAGATTTATCTGATTTACACTACCTTTATATATGGTTTGGAAAATTACGGAATATTCTTTGTTTATTTTTGATGTATTGACTATGGAACGTGTGTATACATCCTAATGTTTTCGTTTAGTATAAGCGATGTCTATGTCTTAGTGATCGACCAAGACAAAGGCAAGTAGAATGTTTTGATAACTGTAAAAGAGTAATATGGTTACAATATACATTGCACTTCAAAAACACGATACTCCGAGTGTTGCATTTCAAATAACGATTCGTTTCAGTAAATAACATTATAGGGTGTATGTCAAGGAAGTGGTTCAATTATCTGTTTTACTCTATATTTTTAAAGTTTATTTGGCTCGAACTAAAACCATTCTTGGTGGTTAAAATGAATCAAAGAGGAGCTCACGAAAACGAGGATGTTCTGATTTGACTGTTGTTTGTTTGTTTTAGAGCAAAACCACATTTGGCTCTCTGCTGTGTTCACCACGGGGAATCGAACCCCGGATTTTAGTAATGTAAGTCTGTAAACTTTACGTTGTTCCATCGGGGGACTTGACGGTTGTTGTAATCGTTTAAATCATTGAGATATAGTGTCATGCTCCCTAGTGTTTCAACGGTAAGTTTGAGGGCCTGTAGCACTAAAATTCAGGATTCGATCCATGCGCCTAGCAACAAACTAAAAATCCACTTAGTTTCTTTTTGCCTTATAACTCCGAAATTATTAATAGTTATACAGAAACATTATACAGAAACGTGTACACAACAATGTGTTGACGGTATTAGACAGAAAGGTGTGTACATAATATCTGTTAACGAGAATTAATAGAAATGTGTAAACAATATATGTCAACAGTATTGGATAGAAATTTGTACACAATAATATGTGCCAACGGTATTGTATTAAAATGTGTATACAATAATGTGTCTCGACGGTATTGGATAGAAATGTTTATACAATAATGTGTCTTGACGGTATTGGATAGAAATGTTTATACAATAATGTGTCTCGACGGTATTGTATAGAAATGTTTATACAATAATGTGTCTTGACGGTATTGGATAGAAATGTTTATACAATAATGTGTCTCGACGGTATTGGATAGAAATGTTTATACATAATGTGTCTCGACGGTATTGGATACAAAGGTGAAGCAATGCGAGACGAAAACAATCAAAACTGAAAGGTAACTTATTACAAACATGTATGTATTTTGCCAGTAGTGAAAGGTCGAGAAATATATTGTTAAGAGCATTATATTATTAAAAAGTGCATAGACTAATATACTAGTCAATAGTACTATAATGGTGACACAACCATTACCTGTAAGTTTATCAATTTACCTAATGTCTTTTCAACCTTTCCAGTTGTGCTTTGAGAATTTTAAAACCCAAGTAACTTTAGCACTGTGTTTGTTGAAATCGTAAAACAGAAAATATAGTATATGTAAACATTTTGTTGTACCTTAAAACTGAGAACCCTTATTACATTACAAAGCTAAAAGATATTATCAACACGACAAATCCGTACACTTAACAATAAGAAAACATAAGGTGTTTGTAACTTGAACCATTCATATGGAATACGAGACAAATGTTAAACAATGTCACCAACAATACAGTATATGTCGTAGAGAAAAGTATGGTTGTTAGACATTCCCGTTGTGGTCATTCAGGATAACACGGTTTTCCAGATAAAGAAATGGAATTATGATAATAAGAATATGCTAAAACCGTTTGTAATCAACAATTATACTTTATCAGATGGATTAAATAAAAGGTTCCACCAACAGGGCATGTCTCCAATCGCTTGCCGTTTAAAATTCATTATCTTATATGCAATATATTTTAGATTGACCTCCATAACACAGTGGTCGGACAAGTTCCACGAGACACGGTGGCCTAAATTTTATGGCGGAAACTGGTACCGAAGGTATGTGTGAACGTAAGAAAATCAGGTCGGTGAGTGACCGCTTAAAGTGAGATAATTGTAGAACGGAATATAGTTTTTTTTAGAAAAACTCGAGCAGAGAAATCGTGATCATCTAGAACTGTTGAGGACGTGAGCCTTTTATATATATATATAGAACTTGGATATTCTAGTTATTAGTGCCGCGAAAAATGTTTATAAATCTCTTAATTTCTTTTACTTGTGAGCTATAATTTTGATCAATAAATACGATTTGAAATTAAACTTCTATTTTCATACCTTCAAATTAGAAATACGATTTCATAAAAAGATACTCAGTGCTGTGAAACAGTCTTTGGCTAACTAGTAAGCGAGAAATAAATACTCTTCAGCTGACTAGTAAATGTCATCAAATCTTGATTTTAAGTTATCGAATTTTTGTAATAGTGGGGAATTGTTTCTTCTCTGGTACACATTATTAACGAAGCAAATAAGTCGACAGATTCAAACTCGTTCAAATAAAAGTATTAATATACCACTCGTTTTGAAGTATGGTGTATATCTAGTCTTCAAAAAAATGCAGCAACGCATAACTAACTTTGAATAAATATTGAACATACATTTTTATAAAACAAAAGAAGAGATTTTAAGAATAATTTACTCAAAAACTATTAGAGCAAATTTTCTTGAGTGAAGTTTCAAGTAATCTTAAAATTATTGGTGACACAATACTTACAGGGGGAGGAGGAGGGGGATGTCCTTGGGGAGGGCCTGGAGGGTACTGTCCCTGCTGGGGTGCAACTGGTCTCCCCTGAGGAGCGGCTTTCACAGCCACCAAAGCGAAGCACAGAATTACAGCAGCTAATGTTTTCATTCTGATCTGATGGATTCCGCACTAAGCTAGTTATCGTTTCAGGCTTTCATTTATAGCTTTTCTGTCAACCAATCATAAGTGTTCTCCAGTAAGTTAAGGTGGAAACAAGAATTTCTTACGCAACTGTAGAAGCAAAGACTGGACCGTGAGCAGAAATCTGTGACAAAGCCAGGGTCTAAAACATTGTATATGCAATTAGGTTACATTACCGGCCTTCAGTCTATCTCAACCATTTGTCCAACCACATAAATGTGATGACGTGTCCTCGGCCTACCCTTATCAATGTGATCTCTAGCAATGTACTCTCTTGCAGAAAAACTTGAAGAAAAAACAGCTATTGAGAACGAAAGTCTATCCTTGTTTTATAAACAATGCCAGTGACTACTTGGACCCCTTTTTACAGTAACAAAAATTATATAAATATATATGATCCGAACTAGTAATATATGGCAGGGGGTGGCCATACTTAATAAGTTCAACAGCCACATAGATACAGAGTTATGCTAAATTCAAATAATCAGAGGAAAAAACCTCTGATTATTTGAATTTCATTTCACAATATGAGAAGTCTATACACCATGCGCAACAGTCTGGTTAAACGTAATGCTTAGAGCACCATCTGTCGAGAAGAGATGTTAATATAACAATAATTATAATTCTTATTAAGTACTTAGGCTAAGGCTGTAACGAGCGGGTATCAATCATTGTTGGGGTTAGTAACCTATACGACCATCTATGTCTGATTATTAATTACCTGTTAATTTTTGTTCCTATATACTCATTAGTAATTAGTTTATAAAATGCGTTTCGGCTGCTAATTTGCTACCGTCTCCAGAGAAGGACTGTTTGTGGAGGTAGGGGGCGACACGATCCTGTTGAAATAAAAATAGTAATAATGTTTATAATTATCATCAAAAATCTTCGAAATTTGTACAGATTATATGTAGACCAGAAATCATCTTGAATCATTATGGAAGGTTATTTTCTTGCTATTTCTATATTTTTGTGGGGTTAATATTCAGTTTATGAACTTAAGTGTACATATTCTAAGTTCTGTATTCTGTATACGTTCAAAACTATCGGGAATTAACAGTATCTTAATACATACACATGCATTTTTTTCTGAAATCCTCTGCAGTGTACGTGTTTAATTTTCACAGCATGGTAAGGTCAGTTTTATTTTAAATATCAGCGGGAATCATGATAAAACTTTATTTTTTATCTGAAAGAAGGACCCTTCTACTGTTTTAACTATTCATGCGCCCAATTGCTTGGGGGTATATACAGGGCCGCCACCATAGTGTGGGTGGGGTTGGAGAGGGGTGCTTAGGGAGTTTCGCCCGTGTAGTTTAGGTTTTGTGCACCTCCTTCACTTTCAGATTTCAAATGAACATAAACAAAATCTATGACAAATAAAATTGAGAACCAAAATAAAATACTATCATAATAATAATACGTAGTTTAGACGTAACGGTTTATAATATCTTGTTAATGATGCTAATAATTTAAAAAAAAAACAACATTCGCGAGAATGTTTCATAATAATGAGCTCCCATATGATTTATTAACTATTCTATAGTGACGTGTAATAGTAGTGAATACGGGTCTTGGTACGTAATGTTTTGGTTACAGGGCCCCTAATAAGATATGAGTCACGATTTTAAGTAATATACAACTAATGTTGCAATGAATCCTTCCCTACGTTTTAGAAAGGAAATTATTGATTTCACTCAATTCTTTGTCAGTTCATCACCC